TCTCTCTATATGTAGGTTCCTTTGGAAATCTGCCTTTAGAATAAAAGAAAAATAAGACTATATCATGAATGGATGTGATATTACACAGTGGATTTATGTGAGTACAGCTGGGTTTGAATCCTAATACTCACTGTTTACTAGGGAAAATTGCAATCTCAGTTTGTTTCCTTGACAACATTCACATTGTGAACCACATGCTAAGCACTGCACTAAATTCTAGGAATACAATAATGAGGTCCCTAGTCACAAAGAACTTAGTTTTATTGTTAATTTGCAATGTGTTTTACAACTACCTAGTGAACAGGTAGGGTGACTGTGAAGGTCAAATGCGACTGTGCTAGAGCTTCAAAGATTGTAAAACACTACACAAATATTTATTTATTCAAACATTTCTTAAAATGCCAGGCATTGTGCTAACTGCTAAAGATAAAATAGTGAGCAAGGTTTATATGGTCCCTGCCCTTGTAAAGCTTAGTCTAGCAGTGATCAATAACCAGTAATAAGAACTAAGTGTATGTAGGGAATTTAGTTCAGGGGAACTAGTCTAGAGGCATCAACAAAGGCTACCTAGATGAAGGTACATATAAACTGAGACCTGAAAGATAAATAAAAATTTATATTCTAAGGGCAATGATTAAAGCATAGGACTGGCATGAACAGAATGACTCAGTTTTTGGCTTGGGTAAGGGCAATTGGATGGTTGGTAGTAGTAATTCTGTTTACTGAAGAAAAGAGGAACAATGAGCAGGAGGTTTGGGGTCAAGATCAATGATGTGTTTTGGTGCCTGTGAGGCAGCAAGGTGGATTTGTTAGCAATTAAATATATGACTTGGGAAAAATCCAGAAAAGAAATATGAATTTGGGAGTATTTGCATACAGGTGGTAACTGAAGCCATGGAAGGAGATGAGATTGGCTAGGGAGATGGAAGGGAGATAAGGCAAGGGAGAGTAGGTAGCCTTGAAAAAAAAAAAAGAACAGATATTTAAGGGAAGAGGTGCCTACAAAGAAGACTAAGAAAGCATACCTGGAACTAAAATCTCCTCAATCTAAAGTAACAGTTCAAGGATGGTAAGGATATTGACAAGGACTTAGTGAGCTTGATAGAACAGTCTGAGTGGCAAAACAGAAAACAAGGAGAGCAAATTTTTCAAGAAACAAGTGGGAATGGGAGATATGGGGAAGTAATTGGTAAGGACACAAAGTTGTTTTTTTTTTTTTTTTTTAAATGGTACTTATTTCATCTATATGCACTGATACAACAGGAACAATAACAGCTATATATTTATAAAAGAAAAGACTGCCATGCAGCTACAGAATTACTTAATACAGAAAACAGTAAAATACACTTTTTTTTTTAAATAAACAAGACTAGTTATAGCAAATTCTTTTTTGCTGAGGATCAATGTTAAAATCCTTGCTTTTATCTCTCCCCACTCAGTTACTATATGGTGCAAACTAATTTTAGTTATCACGTTAAGCAAAACATACTAGAACTTCACAAAATATACAAGATTTCAATATGTGAGGAACTGGGATTAGAAAGCAGAAGCGGCCTTCAAGTCTTATAAACTTTCTCACAAGTAATAAAGCATTTGCTGTGAAAGCAACACTCAAAAACTATCGGGAAATTACCGGTAGACTTATTTTTTTCAGTTTTTCACTGTCATCTTTTCAGATATTTGAGCTTATTCTTTGCTAATCAAAATCTCAACTTGATGTTATTAATATATAAGAGGTTTATCTGCCCTAAACTAATTGTGTATACTAGGAGAGAGCCCTTTAATCTGATTCAGAATTAATTACTGATTTACAAATGCTATTATGTGAGCTACTGGAACCTTTATTGCACCTTACCAGCTAACCTTGGAATACTGAAATTAGTCTCCCCATCAAGTATTCCATCAGTTTACCCAACTTGCCTGTCTAATTTTGCTTCTACCGGTAATTTGCCCTGTTTCTTGACATAAGATAATATGTACACTGGGGGTTTACGGGCAGGGAGAGATAATTCTTCATAATGCCAGACTGTTGTATATACTGCAGGAGGGAGCGGTCTTTAGGTTGAAATGCCAGCAGAAACCCCCCCAGCAAATAAGACAACCAAAAAGGTGTCCCTTCACATTTCGTAGCATCCTCTAGAAGGGAGGGTTACTGCCTCTGATTGAGAAGCACTGAAACAATTTTGCTTCCTAGGCTCTAACAGCATCCATTAAGATAGCTTGTGCATCACTTCCTTCTAAATTCTTGGTTGTTTCCTGGTTCCTTAAATTTGCTGGATTAGAGACCACAGCATAAAGTGCTGCAATAGTTAAAGACTTAGTAGCACAAGTTTTCAAACTGTACTTGGGAATCTATGATATACAAGTTAAGTCCCGTTTTTAAATTAGTTTTATTCTAACTTGCATTTCTGTGATGGCTAGAGATGTTGAACGTTTTTTCATATATTCTTGACCCTTCATATTTCCTTACCAGTGAAGGGCCGGTTCAGTTCCTGTGCCAATTTAGTGATTGGGTCATTTGTGGGTTCTATTTTGTTGTTGGTAAAAGTTTCTTAACTTCTTTAGACAACCTGGAGATTGATGCTCTATCTGAGGAGCAGGTGGTAAAGATCTCTCCCATTTTGTAGGCTTTTTCTTCAGGTTCTTGTTTCCTTTGCAATGAAGAAGCCTTTTAGTTTGAGACCATTCCGTTGATTGATTCTTGATTTTACTTCTTGAGCTTTTTGAGTCTTATTGAGGCACTCAGTTCCTAAGCTGAGGTGATGGAGAGGTGGACCTACTTTGTCTTCTAGTAAGCGCAGGGTCTCTGGTCTAATGCCTAGATCCTTGATGCACTTTGACCTGAGTCTTCTGCAGGGTGACAGACAGGGTTCAGTTTTGTTCTACTACATATGGATTTCCACTTTTCCCTGGGCCATTTGTTGAAGAGACTATCTTTTCCCCAATATATGTTGATGGCACCTTTGTCTTCTATGAGGTAATTGTATATTTGTGGGTTTCTCTTTGGGTTTTCTGTTCCATTGGTGGTCTTGTCTGTTTTGGTGCCAATAATGTGCCATTTTGGTTTCTGCAGATCTGTGATCTAATTTAAGGTCTGATATTGTGAGGCCTTCTGCATTTTTCTTGCAAATGAATTGCTTTGTCTATTCTGGATGTCTCATTTGTCCAAACAAATTTCATGGTTACCTTTCATATTCCTATAGAAAACATCATTAGAATTCTGTAGGAATGGCAAGAAATCTATATAGAACTGTGGGTAATATGGCCACATGGTCAATATTAATTCTGCCTATTCAAAAACATGGGAGATGTTTCCATTTTCTATGATCTCCTGCAATAACTCTCTTTTGTGTTCTTCAGTTTTCATTATACAGATCAACTGACAATTTTGTTAAGATTGATTCCCAGGTATTTTATTTTATATTAATTTTGATGGCTATTGTTAAAGCTTAGATTTCAGGAAATCCCATAGAGCTAATTCGTCATTGATGTACAGGAAACCAACTTATTTATTGTGTTTATTTTATACCCTGAAACTTTGCTTGATTAGTTTATAATTCTATCTAAGTCCACATAGGAGCAAGGGGTTGGTGACTCTGACTCCTAGCCCCTCTCTGAGTCCACAGACAAGTGGCCCTGCGGTCTCCCTCACGAGGGCCAGCTGCTGGAGCGAGAAGTGCAACCTGCCCTGGCCGCTGCCTCTGACACTGATGGTGCCCGGTCACCACTTTGGGAAGGGAACCCTGGACAGGAGGAGCTACAAGCCCAAGCCCATCCTGGGGGGGGACACCCAGAATGGCACGAGGAGGCCCCGAGTCACAGGCCCTGGGGGCAGTAGGGTAGAGCCCTGAGTGGCCTGGGGCTGCCTTTTGCTCCCTCCTCTGAATGTCCCTGCCAGGGGCTGGCTCTTGCCCTGGTGAAGCTTTAACCTCTCTAGGTCTTCGGCTGCACGGGACCGTCCCTGGGAGCGTCCTGACCCAGGGACGGGCCCTTCAGCCTGCCACCCTGAGCTCCCCAGGGCTGCTGAGCAGGGAGCAGGACCACCTATGGGTGGGGGAGCTGGGGCGCAGGTGTGGGCAGGGGAGGATGTGTGGCCAGAGCCCCCAGCCCCCAGGAGTGCAGGGCTGGCTGGGAGGAACCATTTTCCGGGTCTAGTGTTTGGAGTGAACCTTTCAATTCCCATCCCTTCGACTCAGGGTGTGGGCTCTGTCCCCCTTTCTTTGTGATCCCCGTGGGGTTTCCATTTGACACGGGTCAGAGATCCCTGTCTTATGTGAATGGAGGGCAGCCTCACTTCCATCCTGTACTAGATGTGGACCCCAGCCCTCCCCCTGGGTCTCTGATGTCACAGAGCCACCCGTGTGTTCCTGGTGGTTTGGTACCGCAGACCCTCCACTGAGTGTTTTCTTCTGAATTGGTCCCTTCCCTGTGGACAAGAAAAGTGAGGCCAGCTTTTGTACTTGCCAGGAACTGGCCTTTCCATAAACCCCTGTGTCTTCACCCATCTCTGAGTCCCTGCCTAAGGTCCTTCAGTCCACCACCAGGGACTCCTGTCCTGAAGGGCAGGTGCAGGGGAGACCGAGTCCCTTGCCTTTGGTTTCCCAGGGCCGTGGTTTGAGGAGTGTGTTTCTCCAAAAGTGCTGATGAAACTCCCCTCCCTTTGAGGGTGTGGTGTTGTGGTCCTTCAGGAGGGTGAGGCCCTGGGACCCTGGCTTCCCAAGGGGATGTGGGCCTCAGGGCTGGACCTCCTCTGGCCAGCAACTAGGCCCTGGTTCTACCCTCTGCACCACACATGGTCGCGCTTGGTCTCAGGTGTGCTCATGCACACACACACACACACACACACACAGAAACACACAGAGACAGACACAGACATGTCACGGTGGGCAAGGTGGTGACTGCCTTTCTACTTGTGGGTTGGGGAGGCCTAGCAGGGGCATTGGCAGTTCAAGACCTGCCTAGGCAAGTGTGTGAGATCCTTCGTCAAAGACACTAGAAAGGGCTGGGAAAGTGGCTCAGGAGCTGAGCGCTGGCCTCACATGCATGACCTTGGGTTCTCCATGACTATGACCAAGGAGGATAGAAGGGAGGAGAGCAGGGAAAGGGACTGAAGGAGCCCAGTCCTCGGCCTTTCAGCCATGTGGTGTGGGACACGGCTACAAGGTCCCTCGCTGGAAGGAGAGAGCGAGACCTCCCTGGACACCCGGCCTCCTGGTGCCTGACACGTGGACGCCTCAGGTCCCAGAGGGGGGAGCAGTCAGTCTGTGAGGTTCCCAAACAGCCAGCTCAGGCTCTATGGACAGAGCAGGGGAAGGGACCTGGGTGACAGGGACGCCTCCATCTCTCTGCACCCCAGGAAGGGCACCTCTGGCCCTAGGGTTCTCAGCTGGAAGGTTCGGTCTTCATCGCTGGAAGGCGACCCACCGTCTCTCCTGTGGGCTGTAGGGAGGGTTTTGGTGAGTGACCTGATAGGACCTTGTGTGGCAATGATGAGGCAGGCACCCTGCCCTGGCCCCCACACCCCACAGAGGTCGGGAACGTGGCCCTGGATCTCAGGGGGCAGAGCGACCCGCACTAGCGTCCTGGCGTGAGGGGACTGCTACCACGCTCTGGACACCAGTCTGTCCGAGTTGGAGGAGACGGGCGCTGAATGGCTCCAGAGGACCTGGGGTGGGGTCTTCACGGGGCGAAAGCCACGACAGAGCTGTGTACTGGCGAGGCACGGGCCCCGGGGCCTGGTCCAGCTCCTCCTTTCTCAGCAAGGAGAGGTCGGGGTCCCGAACACACGGGAGCACCGAGGTTCCACAGACCCTCCTTGTTCTGACCAGGAAGGTGGCCAAGGTCCCGGAGGCCCGAGTGGGAGATGCCACCGTGGGCCACCCCCAGGTGTGAGTGGGCCACTCCTGGCTGTGACCTCACAGGGGCCAGCATTGTGAGGCCCTTGAGCCAGCGGGGATATAAGGCCGGGTCGAGGCTGGCACCTTGTCCACAAGCACAGGAAGCTCTAGGCAGTGACCTGTGGGACTCCCATAGTTAGCGCGTTTGGTGGTTGGTGGTTTGGTGGTTCTGGTTGCGGTCTCAGGTTGGTTCTCTGATTTGGGGCTTTCTGTTGGGCTTTGTTGTGTTAGTTTTGCTTGTGTTCTTTGCTTTGTTTGTTGTGTTTGTTTTTAGCTAGCGGGCTTAGTGGGCGTGGGGCGGAGGATGTCCAGAGAGAGCAGTGAGCGTAGTGTGGTGCGGAGGGTGCGTCGGGACCTCGCGGCCAGCTCCTCCTTGGAGGAAGCCCTCACGGGCCGCTATGAGCCCCTGGGGGTCGTCGGGCAGGGCAGCTTTGCCAAGGTCTTCCTGGCCCGACACATCCTGACGGGGACGAAGGTGGCCGTGAAAGTCCTGCGGAAGGGGGCGGGGGCCACCTTGTCCTGGGTCTTGTCGGAGCTGGACATCCTGAAGGGCTTGGAGCACCCGCACGTGGTGCAGCTGCTGGAGATCGTGGAGACCCCCGGCACTGCCTACGTGGTGATGGAGCACATGGCTGGGGGCCAGCTGGGCCAGCACATCCCGGAGGTTGTGGGCCTGTGGGAGGACGAGGCCCGCATGCTGTTCGGGCAGGTGGCCAGCGCCGTGGGCTACTGCCACGCGCAGGGCATCGCGCACCGGGACGTGAAGGCGGAAAACGTGCTGCTGGATGCCGCGGGCCGCGCCAAGCTGTGCGACTTCGGCCTGGCCTGCAGGTTCAGGGCCGGAGAGAAGCTGGGCCTGCTCTGCGGCACCGTGGCCTACTGGGCCCCGGAGCTGCACCGGCGAGAGCCCTACGACGGCCCCGCGGTGGACGTCTGGAGCCTGGGTGTCCTCCTGATCCTCATGCTCACGGGCAGCGTCCCGTTCACCGGGGCCAGCTATGAGCAGGCCAAGGAGCAGGTGCTGCAGGCCAGGTACCACCTCCCGTTCCACCTGTCCGACGAGGCGCAAAGCCTGGTGTCCTGGATGCTGACCCTGGAGCCCGCGCACAGGCCCACGCTCCAGCAGATCCTGGGGCACCCGTGGCTGAGCCAGGATGGGGAACGCTGCCCGAGTCCTCCCGCCGAGCTGCTCCCCAAGCGCGCGGACACCTCCATCCTGCTGGCCATGCTGGACCTGGGCTACGGGCTGCAGGAGACCTGGGTGTCGGTGGCGACGCGCCAGTTCAACCAGGCCATGGCCACCTACCTCCTGCTGGGCCACCAGAAAACCCGGGGGGCGGGCTGCCAGGTGCGGCTGCAGATGCCTGGGTGGCCACAGGTGGGGCCTTGCCCGTCCCTTTGCATCCCCTCCAACTTGACTCTGGGCCCAAGGTGGGGCGTCAGCAGGCCGGCCATGCGCTCCTGGCCCCTCTCGGCCTGTGAGCAGCAGCAGCAGCAGCAGCAGCAGCAGCAGCAGCAGCAGCCTGAGGAGCTCAAGCCTTCAGGGCAGGTGGGCAGCAGGAGAGCCAGCCTGCCCGCCATCATGCTGTGCAGCCTGTCGGCCAGCGTCCCTGCTCCCGGCCCCACGGCCCCTCTGCCCGGGTCCTCCCAGGCCCTGGCACCGGATCCCAGCTCCTCCTCCACCGCGCAACCCCCTGCTGGCTCCAGGACCCCTGGCCTGACCCGTGACACCGCCAGGGGATGGAGGGGAGTGGTCCGGAGGATGGCCACCTGTCTGGCGAGGCTGTGCTGCTGCGGGCAGGCCCCCAGGACTGGCTCCGGACGCTCCAACAGAGTGGCTCCCGCAGCTGGAGGGCCCGCGCCACCAGCACCAGCACCCAGGGACCCCCCGGGACCTGCCCCCACCAGAGGTCAGGCCCTCAGAAGATTCTTCAAAAACAGAGTGGCTCCCCGGCCAGCGCCCAGCTGAGACGCCCACGGAGCCAAGTAGGTGGAGCGGTGCTGCCTTAGGTCTCACGTGTGCCTTGATGAGTGTCATTTCCAAAGGATGAATGGACACCCTCTGCCCTTGGGGGGTGCCAGCAGGGTTAGGTCCACCTGGGCACCACAGGGCGGGCGACTCTGACTCCTAGCCCCTCTCATTGTCCACAGACAGGTGGCCCGGGTTCTACCTCACGAGGGCCAGCTGCTGTAGCAGAAGTGCAACCTGCCCTGGCCGCCGCCTCCCGGACCCCTCAGGCAGGAGGACACCCGAAGACACCCGGACACCAGTGGGCCCCTGCGCCCCACCCGGATCCCACCTCAGGGACTTCTCCTTGGACACGTGCCCCGCCCTGCTCTCCTCTGCTCTCTCTCCCACCCTCTGGGGCAGAGATGCTTCCTGATAAGCTCCTCATCCATTCGCGTGTCCCACGGATCTTGGAATAAATTGGGTGCTCCGTGGGGATCAGCTGTTGCGTTCCTTGGCCGCCTCCTGGCAACAGTGGGAGAGTGGGTGGTGGTGTCACAGTGGGGAAGGTGTAAGGGAGCAGTGACAGGGAGCCCTCCGGAGGTCCCCAAGGGCAACACGTGACCCAGAGTGGTCCCAGGGGAGGAGGCTGGGTGGGGGGCAGAAAGGCAGACCTTGTGCCTGGCCTGACACTGATGGTGCCCGGTCACCACTTTCAGAAGGGAACCCTGGACAGAGGAGCCACAAGCCCAAGCCCATCCTGGGGGGACACCCAGAGTGGCACGAGGAGGCACCGTGTCGCAGGCCCCGGGGGCAGTCAGGGTAGAGCTGTGGGTGCCTCCCCCAGAGTGGCTTGGGGGCTGCCGCTTGGTCCCTCCTCTGAATGTCCCTGCCAGGGCCTGGCTCTTGCCCTGGTGAAGCTTTATCCTCTCTAGGCCTTCGGCTGCGCAGGACTGTCCCTGTGAGCGTCCTGACCCAGGGACGGGCCCTTCAGCCTGCCACCCTGAGCTCCCCAGGGCTGCTGAGCAGGGAGCAGGACCACCTATGGGTGGGGGAGCTGGGGCGCAGGTGTGGGCAGGGGAGGGTGTGTGGCCAGAGCCCCCAGCCCCCAGGAGTGCAGGGCTGGCTGGGAGGAGCCGTTTTCCGGGTCTAGTGTTTGGAGTGAACCTTTCAATTCCCATCCCTTCAACTCGGGGTGTTGGCTCTGTCCCCCTTTCTTTGTGATCCCCGCGGGGTTTCCATTTGACGTGGGTCAGAGATCCCAGTCTGAAGTGAATGGAGGGCAGCCTCACTTCCATCCTGTACTAGATGCAGACCCCCCCTCCCCCTGGGTCTCTGATGTCACAGAGCCACCCGTGTGTTCCTGGTGGTTTGGTACCGCAGACCCTCCACTGAGTGTTTTCTTCTGAATTGGTCCCTTCCCCGTGGACAAGAAAAGTGAGGCCAGCTTTTGTACTTGCCAGGAACTGGCCTTTCCAGAGACCCCTGTGTCTTCACCCATCTCTGAGTCCCTGCCTAAGGTCCTTCAGTCCACCACCAGGGACTCCTGTCCTGAAGGGCAGGTGCAGGGGAGACCGAGTCCCTTGCCTTTGGTTTCCCAGGGCCGTGGTTTGAGGAGTGTGTTTCTCCAAAAGTGCTGCTGAAACTCCCCTCCCTTTGAGGGTGTGGTGTTGTGGTCCTTCAGGAGGGTGAGGCCCTGGGGCCCTGGCTTCCCAAGGGGATGTGCGCCTCAGGGCTGGACCTCCTCTGGCCAGCAACTAGGCCCTGGTTCTACCCTCTGCACCACACATGGTCGCGCTTGGTCTCAGGTGTGCTCATGCACACACACACACACACACACACAGAAACACACAGAGACAGACACAGACACAGAGACATGTCACTGTGGGCAAGGTGGTGACTGCCTTTCTACTTGTGGGTTGGGGAGGCCAAGCAGGGGCATTGGCAGTTCAAGACCTGCCCAGGCCAGTGTGTGAGATCCTTCGTCAAAGACACTAGAAAGGGCTGGGAAAGTGGCTCGGGAGTCGAGCGCTGGCCTCACATGCGTGACCTTGGGGCCTCCATGACTATGACCAAGGAGGATAGAAGGGAGGAGAGCAGGGAAAGGGACTGAAGGAGCCCAGTCCTCGGCCTTTCAGCCATGTGGTGTGGGACACGGCTACAAGGTCCCTCGCTGGAAGGAGAGAGCGAGACCTCCCTGGACACCCGGCCTCCTGGTGCCTGACACGTGGACGCCTCAGGTCCCAGAGGGGGGAGCAGTCAGTCTGTGAGGTTCCCAAACAGCCAGCTCAGGCTCTATGGACAGAGCAGGGGAAGGGACCTGGGTGACAGGGACGCCTCCATCTCTCTGCACCCCAGGAAGGGCACCTCTGGCCCTAGGGTTCTCAGCTGGAAGGTTCGGTCTTCATCGCTGGAAGGCGACCCACCGTCTCTCCTGTGGGCTGTAGGGAGGGTTTTGGTGAGTGACCTGATAGGACCTTGTGTGGCAATGATGAGGCAGGCACCCTGCCCTGGCCCCCACACCCCACAGAGGTCGGGAACGTGGCCCTGGATCTCAGGGGGCAGAGCGACCCGCACTAGCGTCCTGGCGTGAGGGGACTGCTACCACGCTCTGGACACCAGTCTGTCCGAGTTGGAGGAGACGGGCGCTGAATGGCTCCAGAGGACCTGGGGTGGGGTCTTCACGGGGCGAAAGCCACGACAGAGTTGTGTACTGGCGAGGCACGGGCCCCGGGGCCTGGTCCAGCTCCTCCTTTCTCAGCAAGGAGAGGTCGGGGTCCCGAACACACGGGAGCACCGAGGTTCCACAGACCCTCCTTGTTCTGACCAGGAAGGTGGCCAAGGTCCCGGAGGCCCGAGTGGGAGATGCCACCGTGGGCCACCCCCAGGTGTGAGTGGGCCACTCCTGGCTGTGACCTCACAGGGGCCAGCATTGTGAGGCCCTTGAGCCAGCGGGGATATAAGGCCGGGTCGAGGCTGGCACCTTGTCCACAAGCACAGGAAGCTCTAGGCAGTGACCTGTGGGACTCCCATAGTTAGCGCGTTTGGTGGTTGGTGGTTTGGTGGTTCTGGTTGCGGTCTCAGGTTGGTTCTCTGATTTGGGGCTTTCTGTTGGGCTTTGTTGTGTTAGTTTTGCTTGTGTTCTTTGCTTTGTTTGTTGTGTTTGTTTTTAGCTAGCGGGCTTAGTGGGCGTGGGGCGGAGGATGTCCAGAGAGAGCAGTGAGCGTAGTGTGGTGCGGAGGGTGCGTCGGGACCTCGCGGCCAGCTCCTCCTTGGAGGAAGCCCTCACGGGCCGCTATGAGCCCCTGGGGGTCGTCGGGCAGGGCAGCTTTGCCAAGGTCTTCCTGGCCCGACACATCCTGACGGGGACGAAGGTGGCCGTGAAAGTCCTGCGGAAGGGGGCGGGGGCCACCTTGTCCTGGGTCTTGTCGGAGCTGGACATCCTGAAGGGCTTGGAGCACCCGCACGTGGTGCAGCTGCTGGAGATCGTGGAGACCCCCGGCACTGCCTACGTGGTGATGGAGCACATGGCTGGGGGCCAGCTGGGCCAGCACATCCCGGAGGTTGTGGGCCTGTGGGAGGACGAGGCCCGCGTGCTGTTCGGGCAGGTGGCCAGCGCCGTGGGCTACTGCCACGCGCAGGGCATCGCGCACCGGGACGTGAAGGCGGAAAACGTGCTGCTGGATGCCGCGGGCCGCGCCAAGCTGTGCGACTTCGGCCTGGCCTGCAGGTTCAGGGCCGGAGAGAAGCTGGGCCTGCTCTGCGGCACCGTGGCCTACTGGGCCCCGGAGCTGCACCGGCGAGAGCCCTACGACGGCCCCGCGGTGGACGTCTGGAGCCTGGGTGTCCTCCTGATCCTCATGCTCACGGGCAGCGTCCCGTTCACCGGGGCCAGCTATGAGCAGGCCAAGGAGCAGGTGCTGCAGGCCAGGTACCACCTCCCGTTCCACCTGTCCGACGAGGCGCAAAGCCTGGTGTCCTGGATGCTGACCCTGGAGCCCGCGCACAGGCCCACGCTCCAGCAGATCCTGGGGCACCCGTGGCTGAGCCAGGATGGGGAACGCTGCCCGAGTCCTCCCGCCGAGCTGCTCCCCAAGCGCGCGGACACCTCCATCCTGCTGGCCATGCTGGACCTGGGCTACGGGCTGCAGGAGACCTGGGTGTCGGTGGCGACGCGCCAGTTCAACCAGGCCATGGCCACCTACCTCCTGCTGGGCCACCAGAAAACCCGGGGGGCGGGCTGCCAGGTGCGGCTGCAGATGCCTGGGTGGCCACAGGTGGGGCCTTGCCCGTCCCTTTGCATCCCCTCCAACTTGACTCTGGGCCCAAGGTGGGGCGTCAGCAGGCCGGCCATGCGCTCCTGGCCCCTCTCGGCCTGTGAGCAGCAGCAGCAGCAGCAGCAGCAGCAGCAGCAGCAGCAGCAGCCTGAGGAGCTCAAGCCTTCAGGGCAGGTGGGCAGCAGGAGAGCCAGCCTGCCCGCCATCATGCTGTGCAGCCTGTCGGCCAGCGTCCCTGCTCCCGGCCCCACGGCCCCTCTGCCCGGGTCCTCCCAGGCCCTGGCACCGGATCCCAGCTCCTCCTCCACCGCGCAACCCCCTGCTGGCTCCAGGACCCCTGGCCTGACCCGTGACACCGCCAGGGGATGGAGGGGAGTGGTCCGGAGGATGGCCACCTGTCTGGCGAGGCTGTGCTGCTGCGGGCAGGCCCCCAGGACTGGCTCCGGACGCTCCAACAGAGTGGCTCCCGCAGCTGGAGGGCCCGCGCCACCACCACCAGCACCGAGGGACCCCCCGGGACCTGCCCCCCACAGAGGTCAGGCCCTCAGAAGATTCTTCAAAAACAGAGTGGCTCCCCGGCCAGCGCCCAGCTGAGACGCCCACGGAGCCAAGTAGGTGGAGCGGTGCTGCCTTAGGTCTCACGTGTGCCTTGATGAGTGTCATCTCCAAAGGATGAATGGACACCCTCTGCCCTTGGGGGGTGCCAGCAGGGTTAGGTCCACCTGGGCACCACAGGGCGGGCGACTCTGACTCCTAGCCCCTCTCATTGTCCACAGACAGGTGGCCCGGGTTCTACCTCACGAGGGCCAGCTGCTGGAGCGAGAAGTGCAACCTGCCCTGGCCGCCGCCTCCCGGACCCCTCAGGCAGGAGGACACCCGAAGACACCCGGACACCAGTGGGCCCCTGCGCCCCACCCGGATCCCACCTCAGGGACTTCTCCTTGGACACGTGCCCCGCCCTGCTCTCCTCTGCTCTCTCTCCCACCCTCTGGGGCAGAGATGCTTCCCGATAAGCTCCTCATCCATTCGCGTGTCCCACGGATCTTGGAATAAATTGGGTGCTCCGTGGGGATCAGCTGTTGCGTTCCTTGGCCGCCTCCTGGCAACAGTGGGAGAGTGGGTGGTGGTGTCACAGTGGGGAAGGTGTAAGGGAGCAGTGACAGGGAGCCCTCCGGAGGTCCCCAAGGGCAACACGTGACCCAGAGTGGTCCCAGGGGAGGAGGCTGGGTGGGGGGCAGAAAGGCAGACCTTGTGCCTGACCTGACACTGATGGTGCCCGGTCACCACTTTCAGAAGGGACAGAGGAGCCACAATGCCAAGCCCATCCTGGGGGGACACCCAAAGTGGCATGAGGATTGCCCTGTGTCGCAGGCCCCGGGGGCAGTCAGGGTAGAGCTGTGGGTGCCTCCCCCAGAGTGGCTTGGAGGCTGCCGCTTGGTCCCTCCTCTGAATGTCCCTGCCAGGGCCTGGCTCTTGCCCTGGTGAAGCTTTAACCTCTCTAGGCCTTCGGCTGCGCAGGACCGTCCCTGTGAGCGTCCTGACCCAGGGACGGGCCCTTCAGCCTGCCACCCTGAGCTCCCCAGGGCTGCTGAGCAGGGAGCAGGACCACCTATGGGTGGGGGAGCTGGGGCGCAGGTGTGGGCAGGGGAGGGTGTGTGGCCAGAGCCCCCAGCCCCCAGGAGTGCAGGGCTGGCTGGGAGGAGCCGTTTTCCGGGTCTAGTGTTTGGAGTGAACCTTTCAATTCCCATCCCTTCGACTCGGGGTGTGGGCTCTGTCCCCCTTTCTTTGTGATCCCCGCGGGGTTTCCATTTGATGTGGGTCAGAGATCCCTGTCTTATGTGAATGGAGGGCAGCCTCACTTCCATCCTGTACTAGATGCGAACCCCACCCCCTCCCCTGGGTCTCTGATGTCACAGAGCCACCCGTGTGTTCCTGGTGGGTTTGGTACCACAGACCCTCCACTGAGTCGTCTGAATTGGTCCCTTCCCCGTGGACAAGAAAAGTGAGGCCAGCTTTTGTACTTGCCAGGAACTGGCCTTTCCAGAGACCCCCTGATAGACCCAACCTGATCTTTTCTTAAAATTGGGCATCTCGCCACAAACCCATGAAAAGATAATTTCGGCTTTACTATAAATTACTGCAAATTCTGAACCTACTTGGAATGCCTGCCCATGCCCTGAACTCACCCATGTCCGGTTTTCCCTGACCAGATCACAACCCTTTCCTAAACCTTAGTGAGGCCTCATAAATTCTGGCCTTCCCTGGCTGGATAATGACCCTTTCTGAGTCTCTAAGATCTCCATAAATTCTGATGCCAGGGCCAGCACAAATGTAAACTTGTGTTATGCTCCTCACAGTGTTGTTATCTGTAACCCCCCTTTGTGTAACTTTTTGGGCTATAAACTGGGCCGCAAAGAAGCCTCGCCGCTGTCCTTGGCTCCCACGATTTTGATGGGCAAGGTAGCCCAGCCGGTCGTAACAATAAGCTTGCTTTAATTTGATTTTAATTGGAGTCAGTGGTCTTTTCTTGCGTCCTGGTCTAACACCCTGTGTCTTCACCCATCTCTGAGTCCCTGCCTAAGGTCGTTCAGTCCACCACCAGGGACTCCTCTCGTGAAGGGCAGGTGCAGGGGAGACCGAGTCCCTTGGTTTCCCAGGGCCGTGGTTTCAGGAGTGTGTTTCTCCCAAAGTGCTGCTGAAACTCCCCTCCCTTTGAGGGTATGGCGTTTCGAGCCTTCAGGAGGGTGAGTGCCGCAGTCCGGCTGCAGCAAAATAACCGGGAGGTGACAAGCAACTTGTGTACATTGATACAGCAGGAGTGGGAGCCGTTTATTGGAGGACAGGAGGGGTATATATACATAACTAATTCCACACGGCTTATCTTAATTAACAAACTAGATATAGCAGTCAACCAATAAGGAATCATCATCTTAATGATTGCACACAGCTTAACATAATTGACATAATCTAGACACAGCAGTCAGTCATTAAGGAATCTCTATCATCTTAATGGCTCGCTGGTGTTACTTCTCAAACCACTGCCTCTGGCAAGATGCCAGGTGCCATCTTGAGTTGTTTATGGACCCTATCAGGTGAGGCCCTGGGGCCCTGGCTCCCCGAGGGGATGTGTGCCTCAGGGCTGGACCTCGTCTTCATCTAGGGGTGGGCCTTCAGCTACCCTGAATTCCAAGGGGTGCAGAGCACAGAGCCACACATCCTGAGTGTCCTGGGGACAGGAGGCATCAGGGATGATGTATGGCCTGAGACACAGCGTGGAGGGGTGGGGGAGGGCAGGAGCTGCTCTCCAGGCCTGTTCCAGGTCCCCAGGTCCCAGGGTGCCTTCTTAGGCCCTGCATGTGTGGACTGAGAACCCATCAGGCAGCTGGCACCTGGTTCTGATGAGCCTGAGGAGTGTCTAAGGGCTAAGCAATGGCAGGCCTTGCCTGGGGTGGGGAGCAGCTGCCCTTCTCCTCCTCCTTGGTCCAAGCTCAGTTCAGATCTGAGGAGCAGGGGACCTCTGGAGGACGCAGCTGGGAACCAGGGGAGCGACTTGAGTTGCAGAGATGGTTAAAGGTGCCCAGTGGGCTCTGGGATGGACAGTGACACCATCCCCAGGAGGAGGAAGTCCCCAGAGCCATCCCTGAGACAGGAGACCTACTGCAGACTAGACTGTGAGCAGCAGAGGCAGGGAGGGGAGGGAGTGGAGAGGGAGGGCCAGGGAGAGAGGCAGGAGCAGGGGGGGGGGGGGGGGGGGGGGAGGGCTGAGAAGGGCAGGAGACAGGGGAGTGAAGGGCAGGGGAGGAAGGAAGGAGAGGGAAGAGGGATGGGTAGAGGGGAGGGGCAGAGTGCAGGGTCCTCCTGGAGAGCAGGGGGGAGAAAGGAAGGAGGGCAGAGGGCGGGTGGCCAGGGAGGAGGAGGAAAGGCTGGGTGCAGGGGGGTGGAGGAGGGGGGGCAGGTAGGAGGGGTGGCCCAGAGCAGGGGCTGGAATGCAGCCCCTGCAGGAGAGCCAGAGGGAGCAGCTGGCTCAGGAGCAGGCAGAGCGTGGGGAGCACTATGTGCATCCTGTGCATGGTCCCTGTCTCCCTGTTTACCTTTGGCCTGTGCCTGTTCATCCAGAAGAGAAGCTGTGTGCACTCCTCCTCCTCCACGCAGACAGCTCTGGTGCTCCTCATCCCTCGGGCCTCCTGGGCATGCATTCATATGAACCTTTAGACTCTAACCCGACTTTGAATGTCGGTACTGTCCATGGCTCCCGTCTGGGTGGGAAGGATCTTGTGTTCTCACCTCAGGATCTGTGCAGCACCCCACAGTTCCTTCTATTGAGCTCCGTTGCCACCAAGACCTAAAACCCAGGGAGGTGGAGGACAGGGCCAGCAGAGGCAAGGTCACTGGATTCCAGAAGTGACTCAGGACACACAAGCTGTCATCACAGCACGAGTGGGTCTGGATCTGGCCAGGGACGGTGTGTCTGCAGCTGTGTGTCTCCACTCTGCATGGGGTGGCTCAAGTCCTGCACGCCACTCATCGCAGGTCCTCCTAAGGGAACCCGATCAGCTGGAACCTCTGACCTACAACTTTTAGATACCTAAGAAATTCAAAAGTTCTGCTTTTCTGAATTAATTCCCAGGAAAATATTCCTATACGCTTACCTGGGGATTAAAACGTCTCAGTCTATAGAGTCAATTGTATTTTAAGTGGTCCATAAGGATAAAAACAAGAGAAGTAAAATAAATGTGTAGAAACTTCCTTAATTTCTTTTATTATCTTTTCCCTTAGGCGATGAGAACAGGAAAATAACATCGATGTGTTCATAAACCTTGGGAGAAGGAAGCACCAGGTCTGTGCTGGGGTCATGGTCTGGTTTCAGTGGAGCTTGGTTTTGCACCTGAACCAACCCCCATTAAGAAGCTGGATCATAGAGAGTGGCTCCCGGCCACTGGAATTCCTTGTCCCATGAAATGTCCACAGAGAGCCTGGACCTCTGCTCTTGGAGGACTCTGCCTGGCCTTGAAACCCCTGCCCTCCCCTCACGGGCCAGCCGCCCTGCAGGCCGGCCCAAGCAGGGGGGATCCTGGCAAGACGCAGCAGGGCCAGAGGGCACCTCCTCCCGGCTCCCCAGGGATGCAAGCGTCCTGCTCTGGACCCAGGGGCAAGACAGAGCGTCTGTGGTTCCTCACCTGCCCTTCTGCCCACTGCTGCCAGCATGTTCAGGGAGGCCCTGTCAGACCTGATGCCAGGGCTTCACACACACTGGTGGAGGGGCGCAGCCGGGGTGCCCTCTGTGACTGGCATGGGGAGCGAAGCCCACCCAGAACCCCCTCGTGCAACCTCGCAACAGGTCTGTCAGTGCTCAGCAGAGCTCTCCCAACCTTGGTGCTTGTGCTAGAGAGTTTGACTGAAAGCCATTTTAAATAAAGGCCATATGAATCTTAAAAGCACCCTTTACTTTAGAGGGTTCTATGAAGTTAAATTTTGGGGTGCCTGTGTCATGTGCTCATTACCTGCGAATCCAGATATGTCCTGAAGTGACAGTCTCAGTGATGACAACTGCCACTCCATTCACTAACTCTCCCTAAGACCGCGACACTGCTTAGAGCCCGGGGGACAGGAGGCTACGGGACCCTGAGGAGGATGCTGGAGCAGGAAATCCCACTGGCCGGCCACAGACCACCTTGTGTCCACCAGACTCACTGCTCGTCTCTCCAGTGAGGGGCTGTCCTGAAATGAATGAGGACGCATTGATTCAAGTGGATTTTAAAATGAGTAAAGCTGATGATGGACTTGACATTTTCCTTAACGAAGGAAACACACACACACTACACACAACATGACACACACAGCACACATACACAGCACACATACCACACACAACACACATAACATGCACGTTACACACATACACAAGATGCACACGCTGTGTACACAAAGCACATATATGACACACAACACCCTCATGTACACATGCACACACATACACAGTGCACACAGGTGTGTACACACGACGCACACCCACATGCATGCACAGTACACACATACATGCACACAAAACACCCTCAAATACACATGCACAAACATAAACAGTGCACACAGGTGTGTACACACGACGCACACCCACATGCATGCACAGTACACACATACATGCACACACACAGGCCACACCCACGTATGCATGTGCACACACACATACATAGACACACACTGCACAGGACCGAGGTGCATATGATCTTTTCAATCTAAAACATTGTAGTGTCCAGGTCATCCTGAAATCGACACACTTCAACCTTTCTCACCTCTCAGTTAAGTGTACAAAATGGTGGTGCATCTGGGGAGAGAGTCAGAGGCCAGAGGCACTGTTATGTGCTTAATTCTTCTCTCGTTCCTTCTAGTACGTTCCTACACATTGAGAAAATGAGTGACTCTCAGACCAGGAACCGAATTTGAAACTTGGATGGTTTCAGATCATTTATTTTCAACACTATTGAAGGAAGACCTGACTGAACTGTTGGCTGGCAGATAATGAGAAGCAGTTTCCTGGTAAAAGACACGCAGGAGAGCCCACACCAGGCGTGTCAACACGCTCTTCTCACCCAACACTCTGTTGGAGTCTCGCAGGGCCCAGGATTCTCCAGGAAAAAGACTCTCCAGGACCCAGACTCTCCAGGTCTAGACTCTCCAGGACCCAGACTCTCCAGGACCCAGACTCTCCAGGACCCAGACCTTCCAGGGCAAAGACTCTCCAGGACCCAGACTCTCCAGGACCCAGACTCTCCAGGACCCAGACTCTCCAGGCCCCAGACTCTCCAGGACCCAGACTCTCCAGGCCCCAGACTCTCCAGGGCAAAGACTCTCCAGGTCTAGACTCTCCAGGTCTAGACTCTCCAGGCCCAGACTCTCCAGGCCTAGACTCTCCAGGTCTAGACTCTCCAGGCCCAGACTCTCCAGGCCCCAGACCTTCCAGGACCCAGACTCTCCAGGCCCAGACTCTCCAGGCCCCAGACCTTCCAGGACCCAGACTCTCCAGGACCCAGACTCTCCAGGCCCCAGACCTTCCAGGACCCAGACTCTCCAGGCCCAGACTCTCCAGGCCCAGACTCTCCAGGCCCCAGACCTTCCAGGACCCAGACTCTCCAGGACCCAGACTCTCCAGGACCCAGACTCTCCAGGCCCAGACTCTCCAGGCCCAGACTCTCCAGGCCCCAGACCTTCCAGGACCCAGACTCTCCAGGCCCAGACTCTCCAGGCCCCAGACTCTCCAGGTCTAGACTCTCCAGGACCCAGACTCTCCAGGACCCAGACTCTCCAGGACCCAGACCTTCCAGGACCCAGACTCTCCAGGGCAAAGACTCTCCAGGACCCAGACTCTCCAGGACCCAGACTCTCCATGTCTAGACTCTCCAGGCCCAGACTCTCCAGGCCCAGACTCTCCAGGTCTAGACTCTCCAGGCCCAGACTCTCCAGGTCTAGACTCTCCAGGCCCAGACTCTCCAGGCCCAGACTCTCCAGGTCTAGACTCTCCAGGACCCAGACTCTCCAGGTCTAGACTCTCCAGGCCCAGACTCTCCAGGCCCAGACTCTCCAGGTCTAGACTCTCCAGGCCCAGACTCTCCAGGCCCCAGACCTTCCAGGACCCAGACTCTCCAGGCCCAGACTCTCCAGGACCCAGACTCTCCAGGCCCAGACTCTCCAGGCCCCAGACCTTCCAGGACCCAGACTCTCCAGGCCCCAGACTCTCCAGGGCAAAGACTCTCCAGGCCCCAGACTCTCCAGGACCCAGACCTTCCAGGACCCAGACTCTCCAGGGCAAAGACTCTCCAGGCCCCAGACTCTCCAGGACCCAGACCTTCCAGGACCCAGACTCTCCAGGGCAAAGACTCTCCAGGCCCCAGACTGTCTAGGTCCCAGACTCTCCAGGTCTAGACTCTCCAGGACCCAGACCTTCCAGGCCCCAGACTCTCCAGGGCAAAGACTCTCCAGGGCCAGACTCTCCAGGCCCAGACTCTCCAGGCCCCAGACTCTCCAGGACCCAGACCTTCCAGGACCCAGACTCTCCAGGGCAAAGACTCTCCAGGCCCCAGTCTCTCCAGGCCCCAGACCTTCCAGGACCCAGACTCTCCAGGGCAAAGACTCTCCAGGCCCCAGACTGTCTAGGTCCCAGACTCTTCAAGGCCCAGACTCTCCAAGCCCCTCGAACTTCCCCTCTGCGGCTCCGTGACTGTGAGCTGCCGTGAGAAACCAGGCACCGAAGGGGTTTGCAAAATGGGAAACGTTCCTGTTCTCACTAGTTTTGACATATTCTTCATTTTAAAATGTGTTATTTATGGTTACATGAAATAGATCTATTACTTTTAAATAAAAAAGTTAATCTTAAGTTTTTTATTTCAGTTTCTAATGCAGTAAATATTTATAAATAAGGCCCACATAAACCAAAACTCTTTGGGATCTTTATAATTTTTACAAGTGTAAAGGGGTTTGAGCTAACAATATTAGACAATATTGATCTATATAAATAAGAAAATAATTGATGGCGAAAACTGTCTTAATATAGCAATAAGTAATATGCATCCACTGGTAATTCAGCTGTTGAAAATCTCCAGATCTGCCAGATCTGTATGAAGATACATATTTCCAATAATATTTTTCTTTAATAACTTGTCAACCCCTGTGAAGTAGTCCTGCTATACTAATCAGCCGTGTTCTGCAAAAAAATCACTATAAAACAGTCCAGAGGAAAATATTAACATTTCAAGCCTTAGAGCCACAGGAAAAATTTTTAATTCAATTTCGATTTAATACAATTTTTTGGAGAGTAGTAAAATAGGCATATTAATGAAAGATAGTCAAGGAAAAACATTGTTTCCTTAGGAGAAAATCACGTAGAATAATTGTGCACGGGTGGCCAAGAGCCAGGAGCCCACGTCCACCCGTGGTTTGAGGAGTGGGGCCCACAGAGGCCAGATGCTGGGAGCTGGACGGAGCAGAGCACAGCGACTCTGCTTTGTTCCTGCTATCTACAAACTAGTAACTTCGCCTAAACGCATCCAGCACATCTCAGTAGAGGTCAGGTGCTCCCGGGCCAGAGGCAAGCAGATTCCTCACCAGGACACGGCAAGCAGCAGGGGTCAGCTCCCTGCTGCACGTCCCAGGGAGCGGGGACTGGCCCAGAGGCAGGCCTGCAGGGGAGCAGTGGGGGGGTGTGTGGGTCCAGCCACTTCAGAGCAGGCGGTGAGCACCCCACCTGGCCCCCGAGGACCATGGCTCCCAGATGCTGTGCAGTTAACAGGTTCCCTCTTGGAGCCCAAGCTGCAGCGAGGAGCCAGGGTCACAGCCAGGCCAGCTCCAGGCCCCCCAGCTGAAGGAACTTGGCTGTGTTACCCCGGGTGATTCTTTTCAGACGAGGCCTGTCAGAGAACGGTGGTCCAGACCCTCGTCCCCGTCGTCATGGAGAGTAAGATGTAGGCAGGTGGACGCGACAGCCTGGCCCTCGTGGGTCACAGACCCTCGCTCTCTGAGCCACACGTAAAATGTCTCACACCCTCTTGTCCCCGTGTCTCCTCATCCCATCGACCCTACAGTCACCCAGCGCTCAGCCTCTGACAAGGTCCAGGATGCCACTGGTGGCCCACTTTGACCTCGGTCTCAGGGCCTGCGGCTCTGACAGTAACGTCCTTCCACAGTCTTGATTTCAGAGAAAACGCTGTCAGCTGCGCCTGTCTTTTCCTCTAAGACGTGGAGGCGTTGGGGATGGCCTGGTCATCCCAAACAGCTGGCCTTTCCTCCCAGCAGACTCCCAGCCTGTGCCCCTTGCCACAGGGCCCTAGCACTCACTCCCGCGGGCTGAGAGCCCGGGTCGTGACGGTCGCCAGTCTGTGCTGCAGTGCTGTGGGGTCATGTCCCGCCACGCTGGGTCCTGAGCCCCTTCAGGGCAGCCGCTGATACACAAAAGGAAAGAACGCTTGAAAGGACCAGTCATCCAAGGCCCGGGAACCTCACACACACGAATGTGGCCTTGCCCCTCTGCTGTGTGTGTGAACCCAGCGGCCCTGACAGTCCTGGCGAGTCGGCTTCAAGTGAGCAGCCCTGCTGGGCGGAGGCCATAGAGCTGGCTGACTTAGGAGCTGAGGGGGACAGAGGTGAGTGAGCTGACCCAGGGTGGTGAGTCAGGACGAAGAGGTGTTCCACCTTTAAAATGTTAATATCCTTTATTATGAGGAGGAGAGCGGGAATAAGGGTGTCAGGGTCAGACAACCACGTGGAGGAGCCTGTGTGCTTCCCTGCCCTCAGGGGGAGGTCAGGTCATTTATCAAAGCTGCCGAGGAGTGAGCTGGGCAGGCCCTCCCACGCACACCTCTTGCTGGGGTCTCAGGCCCATCTCCGGTAGGTTAGTTGTCTCCTCAGGTACCCTTCGCCCTCTGGGTGCCTTCTAATCTGTTTGAAATAAGGCTCGACTTTTAATTCCTGTTTTCGTATTCCAGTAGCCCAAAAATAAGTCTGTTGAAGGTCAAATGGTTTTCCAGGGTTGAAGTTCCCAAAGCAGCTGGACCTCACCCCTGCATCAGGACGTCTTTGTGTCCTGGAGACCCTCCCACATTTCTTCTGTGATTGGCCACTCAGGACTGTTTCATTTTTAGTAAAAGAGCATTTTGCCCTTCTGAAATATTTAAGAGCAGCATAAAACATTCACTTTATTTATTTGAAATGTAGAGATGGTTGTGGAGCACATTCACATAAACTGTCTCCGCCACTTAGTTCATCCAGACTGCAGGGGGGACCAGGGTCCCGCTGGGTTTGGCCCAAGAAGCCGGCAGCATCAGGTCGACCAGAAATAGGGAGGCTGCTGGGGCACAGGGCTTGCTCCGGGCACAGGCTTGCTCCGGGGCTGAGGTTCTGCACAGGTCTGCGACCCTGTCCTTTCCACACATTCACTCGGGGGGATTCTTGGTGGTGATCTCAGCCAAGGAAAACACGTGTCTCTTTCTGTGCTTACACCACCAGGTCGTCGGTGTGGCCCAGGCCATCAACAAGAAATCTGCTAGTGGCGGGACCTTCACAGAGAAGGACGAGAAGGTACTGTGGCCATGCTGCTGCAAGGGGCCCGGTACTGCATGCCAACCCAGAGCAACCACTGGGGGTCCTTGATGGCGCTTTGTAGCACCCTGAGTGTTGAAAGGCATCTTTGCCCTGTGCAGTGTGCAGTGTGGGTGCTACCTGGGAGCGTGGGGCTGCTCAGTCTGGAATTGCAGCTGCCCCCTGCCCTCGGCTGTGCACGTGGGCCCTGATGGCCTGGCTCGCCTTTGCTGTCTGCTGCAGAGGCTTGTCCTGAGTGAAAGTCCAGAGCCACCCAGGCTCAGCCTCCAGGTTGGCACAAGTGGGAGCTGCTCTCTGGTGCACCATTGCTTTACAGGCTTTGTCCACAGACTGCTGGTGCCCGGGTGCAGATCCAGGGTGCGTGGAACAGGCTAGCTGCTACTTCATGCCCGTCTCTTATGACTCTGAAGGCCCCGTTCCCCAGGCCATAGTGGCATCTGTCCCCTCCAGCACGTCCTTGAACCCATTCTTAACTTCATCCTGCGGGAGGCGTGCCGTTCCTCCTGGTGAATACCTACCTCTGTACCGTTCATCGCCAGCGCCCCCTCCCCCAGGACCATTGTATTTACATTGCTCCTCTGAAAATTCATAGGAGCTTGACAGACATTCAGACAAGACAGGAGATACTTTGACCCAGGCTTAGGCTGTGTGGCACCTGTTTGTCCTTATGCTTTAGCATAGCAAGTACCTTTGAATACCTATCTAGCCTCCTGTGCTGCCAGGGACAACTGCGGATATTTGGTGGGAAAGCATGGTTCTGGGTTGGCTCTTTATTCCATTATTGTGTTTATAGCCCTTTAAGGTGAAGCCCTCTTGAATGAATTTGCAGTTTTAGGCTCTATCACATCTTGGCAAAATATATTCATGGTTGTGGGATAAAGCATGCGATCTCAAGATGTGCTTGGATTGATAATTAACATGACTGTAGCGCATAACCCCAGGAGGGGGTGTTCAGGGTGCTGTGAGGGTCCGTGTTTAAAGAGCACATTGGAAGTGTTACTTGCACCTTGATGCAGTGTGTGGCTGCATCGCTGCTGCTGTCCTTGTCCTGATGGCAGATGTGCCTTTGCTTGCGGCAGTAACCCTTGGCAGGCTCCATGTAGTCTCAGCAGAGGCCTGAGTCTCAGCATCGTGTGGAGGCCACTGCAGATTCTGCACAGAGCAGATGGCGGTCTCATGTGAAGAAGCCCCCTCCCAGCCCCTCTCCCCTTCCTCTTGCTGGCCCAGACCTACCGTGCCCAGGAGACTGAGAACACACTGGCCCACTTGGTTGGCATCAGTGCCACCTGCACCTGGGCTCGTGGCTCTCACTCCACCGTGGACCTGGGTGCCAGTGGTCTGGGCACTGCCCCTTGACGGTTCGGCTGCTGTTCTGCAGGACTTTGCTGCCTACCTGGCGTTCTGCGGCATCGTGCTTCACAATGCCCAGCTCTACGAGACTTCGCTCCTGGAGAACAGGAGGAACCAGGTGAGTGCTGCGGGTGTCGGTGTCCCCACGGGAGAGTCCTGGCTTGGCTCAGGTGCAGGGCACTAGGTCAGACGTTCAGAGGCACTTGGGTTCTGGAAGCTGTTACCGATTCCTGTCTCCCTGCTCGGTCGCCCCACCTCTGTGGACGTCTGCTGACCTGAGAGCGCAGGCTCACGTGGCCCTCACCCTGCCCATTGCATGTGGGTGTCCAGCTGCTGCCCAGGCGCTGTTGAGTAACGCGTTAGTTCCTGCCGTCCCTGGGTTCTGGGCGCCATGAGACCTGCACCCAGCACCCGCCATCCCCCCAGCCTCCTCCCCCACCCCACTCCTCTGCCTGCTTCTTCTGGACTGTCTTCATTATCACCACATTGACAACTCGCGTATTGTCCTGCAACCACGAGGCACATGTCCCACGGAACCTGCTCTGGCCCTCTGGTTAGTGCCCTGGTTTCTAGATCCCTGATTGTTTTGTTCCAGCACATTCCCAATTAAGTGCTTAAGAGATGGTACGAGTGAGGTGAGCGTTCTGAGACTTGCAGGTGAGGGACACCCACAGTGCCCGCTGCCTCTGTGGGTGTGAGTGGACACCGGAGAGCATGGGGCCCGCCTTGTGCCTGCTCTTGCCTGCCGTGGACGTTCCGTGCCTTCTCTGCCGTCTGAACATGACGGGCATGTTTCCTTCCTGCTGGTCTGCGTTCCCCTCTTCGGGCTCTGCCCTCCACACACATTCCATGTGCTGCTGTGGACTCGCCTCCTGTCGCCTGACCCTGAACCCTTAGGCCTCAGCCAGGGCGGGTCTTCTCCAGCAAACTGGCTTCAGAGAAGACAGTCCCAGGAAGGCACAGGGGCTCTTACGCTGGCTTTGTGCAGAGCTGAGCTCTCTGAAGACTGGCGTGTGGTGAAGGTTGATCTGGGTGTGGGGGGCAGTGATCCCGGTGTGCCGCCTGCCGGACGCTCTTCAGAACACCTTGTAGTGCTCAGCCCCACAGCAGCACCCGCTCACTGCTGCGAGCACCCTGTGGTAGGAAGCTTGTCCCTGTCACGCTAGTGGAGGGGTCATCAGGACTAGCCAGACGCTGCCCACCTGCAGCCTAGCCTCTGTGTGGCCATCCTGATGGTCATCAGGGCGTGTGGCCAGCAGGCAGAACAGGCCTGCTGCCCCAGCACTGGGGCGGTCAGCCGTACAGCAGCAGTGAGGACGTGGGCAGCTCGCTGCCGGCTGCGGCAGCCCCTGCAGGCTGGCACTTCCCTCCTTCTAGGTGCTGCTGGACCTGGCCAGCCTGATTTTTGAGGAGCAGCAGTCACTAGAGGTGATTCTGAAGAAGATAGCGGCCACCATCATCTCCTTCATGCAGGTCCAAAGCTGCACCATCTTCATAGTGGACGAAGACTGCCCCGTGAGTACAGCCACGGCCCTGGGAGCGTGTGCACAGGGCCCCATCACTGGCCCAGCCACACAGCTGTCCCTGTGGCACTAGGTGCCTGTCTAGCTGAGGGGTGAGTGGGGTGTAGGGCTTCTCCAAGACCCCCGGACCCCACCACTACTCAACCATGGCGACAGCTACCCTGTGGCCTGGCACGGTTACCATGGCAACGGTCACACTGGGTCCATTCCTTAGGCGCCGTGATGATGACCACACTGTGTCCACTGCATAGGCACCATGATGATGGCCACACTGTGTCCACTGCGTAGGCACCATGGCGACGGCCACACTGTGCACTGTGTCTACTGCATAGGTACCATGGCCACGGCCACACTGTGTCACTCACTGCGTAGGCACCATGGCGATGGCCACACTGTGTCACTGTGTAGGTACCATGATGATGGCCACCCTGTGTCCACTGCGTAGCCCATGGCCACACTGTTGAGGTCGCTGTGTAGGTGGCGAGGTGATGAACACCTCTGGATGGGAAGAAGTCGTTGCGGAGTGCCGATTTCCACGGCAGGGCGGGGTGCCCTGTTGCTCTAAGCAGGTGGACCTGGCTGAGTGCTGGGTGAAGAGCTTCCCTTTCCCACAGGGTCTTGCAAACCACAGGTGTCGCCCAGAGAGGCCGTTACTCCAGGCACTGACCAGTCTGGCACCTGTCAGCACCGACAAGGTCTGACTTGCCCTCTGCAGGCTGGGTGACGCTGGGCACCTCCTCCCAGTGGGGTAGTCACGGTGATGAAATCACAGATGCTTTCACGTTCACCAACGTCCCGACCCACCACTGCCCACCTCCTAAGGCCGACTTTACCCTCTAGAGCGCAGTTTTCTGTTGCTGGCGGAGGCACAGGACAAGCCCAGGGTGTAGGGAGAGGGGAGTGCTCACACCAGTGCTGGCCACCCACAGACGGGCATCTGCCCGAGTCTGGCAGGAGAGTCGAGTCCTGGCCCTCGCTGTTGCGCTCTGTGCGGTCTCTGAGCCTCCTGGACCCAGGAACCATCGCCTCTGCACGTTTCTTTCCGACGTGGTCCTTCTTCCTTTAAGACCACGCAGTTCCGTGGAACTGGGAAGAGCGTCCGCGTGGGTCCGTGTGGCACCGGGAAAGTAGGATAGAAAAGCATTCAACCAGGCACTTTAACAAGCTGGAAGGCTGTGTGGCCCGTCATCGTGTGCATCTGTGTGTATGAGTGTGTGTGTATGAGCGTGTGAGTGTGTGTGTGAGTGTGTGTGTGTGTGTGTGTGTGTCACAGTGGCTGATTCAAAAGGATAGCAAATGAAAATTCACTGTGCTAAAAAGATAGTCCGCATGTCCATAGGTGCTCTTTCACGTTTTAAATTGGTCACGAAACCCTTGACGCAGAGCTGATCACAAGACAGTTGTCAGCCTTAAAGTTCAGGTCAGCATCCATTAACGCCCATGTCAGATTCAGCCTTCACGGCCTGCTCTTTGGCATTTAATTTTTGAAAGTTATACATGAAGCACTTATTTTTAAACATCTTAAATATCACTTTCATGGATATTCAGTGCGAGCTTCTGCTGGGTCGCACCCTGCGTGGTAACACGCTGATTTGGAAAAGCGGTGCCTTGGACTACAGATGACAAGAAGCCGTGAATATGTTTTGCTAACTTTTTTACAACTTACGTTGCTACATTTACAAAGGGAATCAGGTGCCTTGTTGGTTCATATCTATTGCAGTTATCTGTGCATTAAAATATTTCGACATGAGCAAAAATAAAATCAAAGCCTCTCCAAACGCCCTTGATCACACCCCCTTCTGATGGTCCTTTCCAGTTCTCCTTTATTCAGGTGTTACTGTAGCACGGGGCAGATGGGCGTCTTGCTTTTTAAGTGTGATTTCAAGGGTGATTTTTACGGCACCCAAGTCTTCGTGTTACTTCAATGATGATAAAATATTACCGTGTGACCCACAGGCACGTTGCCTATGTGTAATAACAGCATCCGGGTAGGATTCCCTGGTGGGAAAGCAGTGGACCAGCGCGGGCTGCGGTGGGCCTTCTTGCCCGTCAAAACCAGACGAGACGTGGGGAACAGCTGCAAGAGCCTGTGCGTGAGCCGGGCCTCGCTGGGGCAGCAGGACAGGAGCAGCCGCCCGCGCCTGGGTTGCGCTCTGCCGACGCCAAGCCTCAGCCTCCCGTCTTCTGTTTCAGGACTCCTTTTCTAGCGTGTTTCACATGGAGTGTGAAGAGGCAGAATCCTCGGATACCTTGGCAAGGTGAGTGACTTACCATCTGTCCTTCTCACGGGGTCTCACACCAGCTTGGCTCAGCACGCTCCCCGGGGCCGTTTTCCCCACGGTGTTGTGGGGATGGAGCCCCAGGCTTTCCACTGCACCGGCCTGTCTGTGGACCGTGTCACAGTGACCGGGGTGACCGGTGTGGGACTGGGTGTGGAGTGACTGTGCACGAGCTCATTAGGACCCAGGAGTACTGCGTCTTGAGCACCTTTGCTCACGAGCCTGTTCGCCCCTCTCTGGGGACTTCGTAGGTTCCTGCTCCGATTTGATCTAGCAGCAGAAGGAGCCGGGGCCTGGACAGACCAGATCTCCACGGCCCTCCAGCTCTTTTCTGTGTTTTGCGGTGTTTTCAAACCTGCGTTGGGGTCTTGGCTGGTGACTTGTTTGAGCAGCGTAAGGTCTTCATGGGATGGAGGATGGATGCCACTGTCCCTCCTGAAGAATCCGCAACACATTCAGGGTAGAGGGCCAGAGCTCTCACTCAGTCCTTTTGTCACCCTTAGCCGAGCTGGCATGTCCTCGCAGGTGAGAAGACCCTCAGGAATGCCAGTCTGCAGAAGCCGTGGGGAGCCCCCGTGCCACTCCCCACCTCGCTCCCTCTCCACTGCTGAAGACCCCTTTCCCCCGTGGCCCTTGTCCTATCTCAGGGCCTCGCGTGGAAGCAGAGGCTGCTGTGCCTCCCTGGGACGTCAAGGTTCCGGCCTTTCCCAGACTTGTCCACGTGGCGGGTGGGGTGGCCTCTAGTCAGCGTCAGTGCTGAGCTCCTCGGCCCATGGCTCTGAAAGGACCTCCCTGCACACCCGGCTGTGTACCCTCTGCCAGACAAGTGCCATCCCCCGACACGGTGGGAGGAAGGTGCTGTGCTCAGAGCCCAGAGCCCAGGCAGGACTGGAACTCTGCGGGGGTCCCAGTTCAGAACCAGGCCATGATCAAAAGAGCCCCTCACACACACAGGTGGAGATCCAGACGCTGGGTGGACACTGGGCATCCTGACGAGGGAGCCTGTCCCCATCACTGGGGAGGACGTCCCCCGCTCCGGAGACTCATGCTGCAGGGTCCAGGGGCAGTGTCCTGGGGTCCGCAGCTCACTCTAAATGGCTGAGCCAAGTGCAGAGAAGTAAGTGCACGAGAATGGCCAAGTGAGTCAGTGCAGCTCCCATACGGTGTAGACGGAGCGCGGTGGCTGGAGATGAAGAGCCGGAGACCCCGCGGGGAGCTCAGTTTACCTTTGGGTTTCTTTGACTCTTATATCCATTTAAAAATAGTTCATCCAGAAGATTTGGAAGAAAATGTTTTAATAAAAAGTGAAAAGCCATGTAAAACAGAAGTCATCTCTAGACCCTACAAAGCAGATGTCGAGTTCCCAGCTGTAGGAACACAATGACCACCGGCCTGCAGCCTGGTGTGCTCCGCCTCCTGGTGCTGCCAGCCTGGGAGCTCGGCCTGCACCTGCCGTTCTGCCCACCGTCCTCCCCCCAGCCTCCCTGGCCAGGTGCAGAAACAGCCCAGTGAACGGAGCTGAGGCTGGCTACGAGGGTGTGTTTAGGTGAGACCCCTCAGGCCAGCGGTCACTGTAGCAGCTTGGCAGGATGAAAGATCTTCCCTCCCTTTAAAGGATCTGGGGCTGCTCGTGGCTGAGGTGACTCAGAAGCCACGGCAGCTCACTGATACTGAAGGTGCACCTTACCCAGCCTGACCGTGGTGGGGAGGTCAGGCGGTCAGCCTGGCCTCTCCCAGAGACCTTGCTAGTGCCCTGGGGCTTAGACCCATGAGGTCATAACTCACATGAGGGCTGGCCCTCGCTGCCCTCTGTCCTGCTGGCAGTGAGTGACACCTATGTCCACCCGGGCCCTGTCCTTCCCGCGCCCTGTGTTGGCGTGTGTTGCGTGTTTGGAGCTGCGCGTGTGACGTGCACGTCCTGGTGTGCAGCAGCCTTGGTCTGCACACTGCCACTGTCAGGGGGCTCGCCGCCCTAGCAGAGCGCTGATGTGCTGTCGCATCTCTGATGGTAGTTTAGCAAGTTGCCTGTAAGGCCCCTGAGGTGTCTGTGTTTTGCTTTTCCACTGGAGAGAGCTGAGTCATTTATGTAAGTAAAGGTCTGTGCGTCTAGATGTGTCTCCTCACCTTTATCTCCGTCGGAGAATAAGAGAAGAGCTAGGATGATGCTTCTTAAAGGTGTAGAGTCACGAATCATCCTCGTCTGCCCCTACACCTCTGTGTAGCAGCGCCCACCTCTGTGACTCACTTCATCTCTTGGCGGTTTGACTTTCCTGTGCGTCCCCCGTGGCTGAGCCCAGTGATTCGGGGTCTCAGCGCCCTCTGCTGGTGCATTCTTAGAACAGGCGCGGCGCTTCCTTCAGGAAGACCACCTGCTTGTCAGCCTGAGAAGGGCCTTCGGTGGCCTTCCAGTCCCTCCAGGACAGCCTGAGCGTAAAGACGCTTTCACAGAGCACGAGGGGGCCCGTATGGTGACCTTAGAAGACCCATCTTAGCCGACTTATTCACTAATTTTAAAGCAATAAAAACCATTCCGTGCAAATGGCTTAGAGCAGCTACATATTTTTAAATCAGCTTTTATTCTCATCCTGCCCTAGAAGACCCCCAGTCATGAATGAAAGTTCCATTTAAGGTTACTTTTCAATAAGATTCACATATCAGGGTGAATTGCATAAAAACTGACTTAGACACAGCCAGCGTTCAGTGACTTCAGCATTTTGAAGTGGGGGCTGAGCGGTGACTTCTGCTCACCCGGGGGTCTCTAGTCCGGGTCTGAATTCGTATCCACAAACCCAGCCCTCAGTGGGGGAGGGTGGGAGCTTGGTGACGTTAGCTGCAGACAGACCAGGCTTCTTAGGTTACCAGTGGAGAGGGCCGGGTGGAGAACTGGGAGGCTTTCTGGGTGCGCGCTGCGGGTCCTCGTTAAGTCCACCTCGTCAGGGTGAAGCATGGTGAGCCCTTGAGGTGGGGCCCAGAATCCCACGGAGGTGCGCTGTGGGGGGCTGAGTCGGTGCTGTGGCTCCGAGAACTGACTAGGGGAGGGACAGAGGTGGCGCTGTGGCTGGCCTGGCTCTGAGGCAGGTGTGAGGGCACTGTCCTCCACGCCAGCAGACTGTGGTCCTCGTGGACGCACAGGCTATTGTGAAAGGACACCGCGGCCGGAACCCCTGAGCCCACCTCCTGGGAGGAGACACCAGCCCATAGTCGTCACCGACAATCGTATCAGAAAACCCGAGCATCACTAAATAGGGAAAGGTGGTAAGAGGGTCCTTAGCACTCACACAACTGTGGACGGAAGAGGCGAGGACTCCCGCTGACTCCGTGGTTCAAGCCCAGCGCGTCCCGGCAGCAGGACTTGGTGCACACCGAACCGTCCTGAAGCCGCGGCTTCTCTCCGGGATGGCGGACGGCAGGACTCAGGGCCCTGTGTGGCTCCAGGGCAGGCACATGCTGCGCCTCCTCCACAGCTCCGTGTCCCTGACGGCCTTCCCAAGAGTCCCCTGCAGTGTCACCTCTGCTGTCCACTGTGCAGAGTCCATTGATGCCTGAGTTGGCCCAGACCTCCAAGAACCAGACGCCAGGACTGGGCAGGTGTGCGAGAGGAACAGGAGGCCTGAGAGAGTGGAAGGAGGGCCTGTGATCCCAGAGACTCAGGGCTGAGGCCGGGGACAGCAAGTCCAAGGTCAGCCTTCGCAGTTCGGCAGGACCCTCTCCCAAATTTAAAAAAGCAGAAAGGAGGGGCTGTGGCTCAGTGCTGGAGCACCCGGGGTTCATCCTCATTCCAAAATAAATCAGTCTGATGCAGACCGCAGCCGGGACGAGGGCAGGGGTCCGAGCAGGTGCTGGGGAGTTCTCCTGCCAGCTTCCCTGTGGCGGGGTCCTGGTGCCACCATGTGGGCTCAGTCTGCAGGAGCAGTTCTGGGAGGTGGCCCTGGCGCAGAGCCCGGGACGCGGTGGGTGTGCTCCTAGAGGATCCTCCTTAGGGCCACTGAGTGTCCCTGCGATTGCCAGGGTGAGGCCCACGTTCCTGCCACGGCCCTTTCTTCATCTCCCGCCCTCTGCCTGCCTGGCACCTGCAGGCTGAAGCCGCACTCCACCCTGCCAGCCTGTGCGGCTCAGTGGTGGCCTCTCCAGCACTGTGAGGTCCTGCTCCCTCCTGTGTCCACAGCCCCACTCCGGGGTCAGTCTTGGCCAGCCTTGCAGGGCCACCCATCCCCTTGCCATCCACCCCGTGCTGGGGCATCTTCCCTGCATGTGTGGGGTGGCTTGTTACCAGCTGCATGAGCTAGGAGGGGTCAGTCATGAGACCCAGACGGACGCGGCGTCCTCCTTCCTGGGAGAGCCTCACCACGCCAGGGACCCGGGCACTCCCTGCTGCTTGGCATCCCTGGCATGTGGCCCTTCCCTGTGGGACCGAGGGGCAGCCCAAGCCCTCCCGTCCCTGTTCTAAACAGCGAGGACAGGGCAGGGCTGGGGTCACCACACTGCCTTTTACATCCTGCTGACGGACTTAGCTCTGGGGACAGCAGCCCGCTGGGGCAGCGGAGGGCAGTTTCCCTCTGGGTGGGAAGGAGAGTTTCCCAGGACAGCCAGCACCTCTGCTTGACAACCCAGGCGGACACGCACCCAGAGCACATGCTACCGCCGCAGCTTCCTGCCGGATCAGGAGCCTAGGCGGCCACTTGGTCACTCACCCTGTCCCCTCATCTCTCCCAGGCAGCACGCAGCCTTCTCAGAGCAGGTCACGCTGAATTCACTGAGCGCAGGAGCTGGGAATGATCAGCCTTTCTTTCAGGGCACAGGGTGAACTTGGCTTTGTGTAGGTCAGGAAGCACAGTGCTCCTCTCCAGCCCTGGGACCACTCAGGGTCTCCTGGCTGCGGCCGCTCACGGGGTGGTGATGACAGCGGTGGCAGCGACTGCGGCTGTTACCTGCTTACGAGAGGCGCACAGGGCTCTTGGTCTCCTGGTGGCCACCCTCCTCCTCCTCCTCTTCCTCCTCCTGTTCCCCTTATTCCTCCTCCTCCTGTTCTTCCTCCTCTCCTCATTCCTCCTCTTCCTCCTCCCTCTCCCTCTCCTTCCTCTCCCTCTCCTCCTCCTCCTCCATCTCCTCCTCCCTCCTCCTTCTCCTCTTCCTCCTCCTCCTCCTCCTCCTCCCTCCTCCTCTTCCTCCTCCTCCTCCCCCTCCTCTTCCTCCTCCCCCCCTCCTCCTCCTCTTCCCTCTCCCCCTCCTCCTCCTCCCTCTCCCCCTCCTCCTCCCCCCTCTCCCCCTCCTCCTCCCCCCCTCGCCCTCCTCCTCCCCCCCTCGCCCTCCTCCCCCCCCTCTCCCCCTCCTCCTCCTCCCTCTCCCCCTCCTCCTCCTCCCTCTCCTCCTCCTCCTCCTCTTGTGTGGAGAGGTACTGGGGACGGAACCCAGGAGCACTTAACCACTGAGCTGCACCCAGCCCTTTTTATGTTCTGAGACAGGGTCTCCCTTAAGTGGCTGACACTGGCCTTGCACTTGGGATCCTCCTCCTCGCAGTGCCTCCAAGTGGCTGGGATCCCAGGTGTGGCTGACCCACCTGGCTCACCTTTGGGGCTGACCTCAGCGGGCTCTTGGCCCCTGCCCCAGGGCCCTGTTGTAAAGGAGTCTGGTCTCACACACCGTTTCCGGCCCACAGCCCACACTTAGGAGCTCCTCTTGAGCCTTCCCCGGGTGGCAAATATGAAGGGGGCCGGGAGCATCTCTGCAGACGGAGGCGCTGGTTGCTGCCCTTCCCAGCGGAGCTGTCCTGGGCCTCAGGCGGTCTGCGGGCGCCGGCTCCGGGTTCCGCCTGGCATTGCCTTTTCCTTCATTCATGGGCACCTGGCTCTGCTCGTGCTGAGCACTAGGTCTGAGCTGGCATCACATCCACGGGGAGAGGCTAAAGCACCTTGGCCAGGAGAGAGGCCCGCAACTTGGGAAGTCGCCAGGGCTCAGGGGCATGGTGACACGTCCCTGGGGGCAGCTGTCAGGCCAGGCGTGGAGGATGGGAGAGGCCGCCTGGAGCTGTGAGGTTAGGGGCCAGTGGCCTTCCTCCCACCCTGGACGGTTGGTGTGTGCATGTCCCTCCTGCCTGGACCCATGCCCAGCTGGTGAGGCCACAGTGAGACTGGCAGGTCCTGACACCAGGGTCGGTTTGCCCAACCCCAGCCTCTGCCAGGTTCGCTACCTCCACCAGAGCACAGGAGGCCCTGAGAAGGTGCTTCTGCCCTGTCCCTGCCAGCACTGACACGACCCTGCTCCGGCAGGCTGAGTCTTTGCGGTCAACCTATTCAGCCAGGGACTGGGAAAAAAAATCAGTGGAAGTATTTACGCTCTAAATAATTTTTGAGGAAGATGATTTTTAAATTTCAATGACTGCCATAAAGACCTTACAGCAGAAAAAGACGAACGTGGAGATGAGATTGAGGCGAGCAAGGTGCTAGGAACAAGCAGGAACGTGGAGACTACGGGAGAGACCTAGGGCGTCCCCAGGCCTGCTCGGCGTCCCTCACTGGGAGCTGTCCCTGCTGCCCTGCGGGGGTGCCACTGTGAGGCAGGTAACTGAGGATGCCAGGCCCTGGTCATTCCGAAACTCTTCAGCGTCTTCTGAAAAGACGCTGTGGGGGAGTCCATGTGAGTTTTCATTAAGTGACACAGAAAGTGTCCTATGACCCGGCTGGGCCTCCCTCATCCCAAGGGCGGGGGCCCCATGTGCTGCAGAGTGTGGACATTCACGAGCAATCGAGGGACCCCTCAGACACGGAGGCCCCTTGCACACCCGGCTGGAAGGCCGTCTTGGACGGGGCCTCTGGTGCCGCCCACAGGAGGCCTCCAGCTCGGCTCCAGGCTTCGGAAGCTGGGGGTTGTTGGAGCGCACACTTCAGGCCGCGGCGGCTCGGTCATAACAGGAGCCCGGACGACGCGCTGCAGACTGAGATGCTGAAGCGCTGTGGGAGCTGTCTCTTCCACACATGTGAGCCAGTGACCGCCAGTGACCCCCAAGGCGGGGGTGTTCAGCCAAGGTGCAGGTGTGGCCCCATGAGGGCAGAGACGCGGGTCCTCCTCAGCTGTGGGCATGGCGTCCTCCCATCTGCTGGCCGCAGAGGACGCACTCAGGCCTCTTCTCTCACAGGCAGCGAGATGCTGGCAAAATCAACTACATGTACGCTCAGTACGTCAAGAACACCATGGAGCCGCTCAATGTCCCCGACGTCAGCAGGGACCAAAGGCTGCCCTGGACGGTGAGTGCCTGCGGTCCACCGAGGTGGAGGCTGCTGCCGTCGCCTGCCCTGCCAGCCCTCCCCGTGGGCTGGCCCTGGGCTGTTGTCTTGGGAGCTGACGCTCCCTGGTTGGTGAGGGAGGACGCACAGTCGTGGGGAGTGGCTGGCCTGGCTCTCTCTGTGCTTTCTAGTTGTTTAAAGGAATGTGATCAGAGGCTGGATGCCAGGCCGGCAGCCGCCGTTGCCCCTACGGCGTGGCACTCCTCGGAGCGCTCCTGGGCTCCTCCGTTTTACCCGTAGACGTGAAGCTCCTCCCGGTTCCGACTCCTGCAGTTGGTACCCTGCCATGGTCTGCTCCCAGTGGGGACGCAGGTGTCTTTGGACAGCAAAGCACAGGGACCTTTCCTTGATGTGGGTGGCTCTGTCATTGTGTTTGAGCAGGGCATGTGCTCTGAGAGAGCCGCCCATGTCCTGTGCCCTTGCCCAGCTGGGACACCTGTCAGACCGGCCACTCGGGCAGCAGGCGCAGGGGAATCACTAAGTCGGATGGTGGGAGGCAGGCCGACCCCGGGGTGGGCAGAGCGTGTGGACACTGGTCTTCACCAGGGTGGTGGATGCTGAGTAAAACCTGCTGGAGTTAAAGTGTCGGCACACCTGGTAGGCCACCTTAATAAAGGCCTGGCTGCTGCTGTGGATCTTACGGTCACCCGCGTGTTCCGCTTCACGTTTGTCTGTAGTTAAAGGTGAGCACGCTCCTGGCTTCAGGTGAGGCTTCTGCCGGTGAGTTGGCCTCCTGTCACGTGGGCTTTCTTTCTGTCTTCATCTAGAAGGAAAACACAGGAGCCGTGAGCCAGCAGCACATTACCAGTTTGCTCTGTACCCCCATAAAAAATGGGAAGAAGAATAAAGTCATAGGTAAAGTCTTTCTGCTAACCTGTACTCTGCACTTGCTCTTTAAAATGTGTTTCCAACTCCTCCTTTCGGGTGTAAATTTGAAGAATAAATTGTCTAAAAGAAGCTATAAAGATTGGAATGCTAAAAGCCTTTTGAGATACTTGTAAGTTGGTGAATGCCAGCAGATATATTTGTTAGGTATTTTATTAACCATAACTGTCTTTGCCTGGGCACAGTGGTGCATACCACTTCTGGCTGCTTGGGAGGCTGCGGCAGGAGGATTGCAAGTTGGAGGCCTGCTTGGGCAACTAAGCCAGACCTAGTTTCAAACTTTGAAAAATAAAAATAAAGGGTTGGGTGTAGCTCAGTGGTAGAGCACTGCAGGCTTAATCCCCAGTACTAAGGAAAAAAAACAGATTTTCGTAATTATTATAATTCAATTTCACCAGAATTTTTTGTTTGAAAGTGGTGTATTAGAAGTTGGCAATGTGTGCCGTAATCTTGCTCCCTGGTTCTGATTTTTTAAGTATGTAGTTTAGTCATAGGTTGTATTCATTTGTTCATTCAGTAAGTGTATTTTGAGCTATACACCGTGCTAGCACTTGGGATACATCGGGGAGCAGAGCAGAAGTCCCAACCCTGGGGACCCTGTATTGGCACATAGAGGTTCAGGATGGTGGAAGAATGTGTTCTCAAAAGTGCATGATGCCTCCTGTTTTCAACGACGTTTCCTTGGTATTATAGGTCACATTAAGTATAGGGCAGAGGGCATGTGACTTTACATGCCAATCCTCATGACTGACTTGGGAAAAAATCTCCCTGAGAACTTGGAAATAAAGGAAGACAAGTGCCTTCTAAAGATTAAACTTTAGAATTCAAACCCTAATTGAAGCAACACTTAGATACATTTACCTTGAAAAGTGTGAATAGTTTTGAGTTGCAAGACTTGGCTGGGATTGGGTTAGAGCAGAGTCTCGGCAGAAGGAGGGAGGGGGGCGTCCGCAGGAGGAGGGGTACAAGGTCAGCTTTGGCAGTGCTTGGCCGGGTCGAGGGCCGGGGAGAGCCTGTCCTGGGCTCCTGTGTTCTGACCTCACACACACCACTGCTTGGGGGAGCAGGAGGGGGTAGGGGCAGCCTGTGGCGTCCTCGTCCTGTGCCATGGAACATCCCCTTCGTCTGCCAGAGGGTAGAATGCAGTGTCGTGTACCGCAGTCTGGCTGGGCACAAAAAACCGGGAGGTCACGAGCCACTTGTAGGTTCAAACAGGAACTACTTTATTGCCCCAACTCCACGGGAACTCAACCGGAACTCAACGGGAACTCCGCGAGAACTCAAAAGTAGCGGGCACCGGAGGTAGCAGGAGCCGCCTTATTGCCGGACAGCAGAGGTTTATATACACAACTGAATACACAGCTGGTTTCAATTTAGCATCATCCAGTTACAGCAATCAGTCATTATCTTAATAATTATACACAGCTTAACTTAATTATCACCATCCCAATGGCTCGCTGGCGTTACTTCTCAACCACTCCTTCTGGCAAAATGCCAGATGCCATCCTGACTCGGCTGTGGCTCTCAACAGTCGTGTGCCCTGGACACACTGGTGCTCTGATGACCCCTTCCTGTTGAGCCGTGGGCTTGGCCTGATAAGGGCGGGGCCAGCCTCTCCTTGTCGTGTGCGAAGAAGGTCCTGGTTTCATAAATGAGTCTCCTGGACTTGGTCACTGTCCCTCCGCACAGAGGTGGTCTGTCTTCGGCACGCTGGTCTGCTGTCTAGCCCGGGTGGGAGTCGGCCTGTTGAGCTCATGTTGCCCGCCTACTGGGAGCCTGCTGGCCGCTGCTCCACTGCCATGCTTGGAACACGGCAGGCCAGGAGTGTGACTCTCCTCGGGCCACTGTCCCCCAGACCTCCACACAGAAGAGGGCGAGGCCTTAGGAGGGACACCAGGGCAGGGTCACGTGGTGGCCGCAGGCCAAGGGGAAGGTCAGCCGTCTTGTGCCTCCTGGGAGCCTGCAGGTCGCGGGAAGCTGCCTGGGACCTGGGGAACGTGGGGTGGGCCGCAGAGGAGCCTTGTTTGCCAGCCAGGTGCCCGCTGCCCGGCCGCTCCTGCACTCCGCCCAGTGGTCCTGGAGGAACTGCAGGGCTCGGCCTGGGAGGGGGACCCAGCAGGCCCCCGCTCCCTGTCCCCTGGAGTGGTCCTGGGCGGGCCACACACCTCTGAGGAGGGGACTCTGCAGCCCTCAGGTCTATTCGGGACTCACGCCTGCCATCCTGCCCCTGTTTAGACAGAGAAGCAAAGGGCTTTAAAAGCAGCACCGCTGTCCGCCTGGCCACACGGCCGGTCAGTCTGCCCAGAGTGAGCGAGCCTTGGTTTCCAGGGGAAGGTTCCCTGTAAATGAAATAACAGATCACTCAACCTCCTCTGTGTGGCTCGGAGGGCAGGAGACGCCTGCGTTGTCCCCAGTGTGAGGAGGAAATGGCCCTGCTGTTTTATGAACTAAGGAGACCAGAACAGGATTGGAGTCTGGGGCACCCTCATTCCTGCGGATGCCGCGTGGAAAGCCCGTGGCCCGGGTCTCTGCCCGGCCTCTGGGATCCGAGGGCCCGTGGAACTGCTGCAGAGCAGAGCACCCACTAAGAGGTCTAAACCTGAGCGTCACACCGCCACATGGCCATGGCTTGGCAGAGGAGAGCCGACCCGCATTCCTCACCCGGTGTGCTGGAAGCTGGCTGCCACCGTGCTCCTCACGACGGCAAGTCCCTGTGTGACGTTTCCCCCTCGGTCACTGACTGCCGGGACCTCACAGGGAGGCCGTACCCAGGAGGGAGCCTCATGTACAGAAGTGCATCTGCAATGTCACCTGGCCATGGGTCACCTCACACCAGCCCTTGCTCCATGGTCAGCGACCCAGGACTACTGGGGCGCGTCTGTTGGCCTGTGGGAGCTGCCCAAGCTCCCTGCTCTACCACGCTGCGGAGGATGCCGGGCT